TTTGTAAAGAAAGATAGTAATAAAGAGATAGCAGAACATTATACATCTCTCGATTCAGTGTTATAATGCCTTAAGAAGTTAGGAGACGATTGTTTTGAATGCCTTCGTAAGATCAAAAGTTAAACACAGTAAGAATTCAGAATCTTGATAGTACAAAATCAGACTCGAATTCTTTCCTAGTGAGTATTAAAATTCACATTGATATTCGAAAATAGAGATGTGCGAATCAAGGTTTTTTACTCCAAATTGAATCAAATCGTTGAATCATAATTTTGAATTAACAGCACAATTTTTGTCAATTGAATTTTAATATATAGATAATAAAAAGATTTCTACATGAGAAAAATAATATTAATTATATAATATAATTATTTTAAACATATATATATATATGTATTTAAATATTAAATAATACGAATCTTATTTTAGACCGTAACATATGAGAACACAATCAATACTAGAAAAAAATGCCTATACTGATCAAAGCTAGATCTTTATGCTTAAATAATTCAATGTGAATTATATATATACTAGATATGTACTTGCATATATACCATATTTGTAGTCCTCCAAATTGCGCGCCGAATTGGTTTTTCGGACTTATAAACACAATTAAACTACTGAAATAATATCACGAATTAAATTAAATTGACAAGCAATTCTTAATAATTTTGATACACAATCAGACATCATATTAGCAAGATGTTAATGTGCTGGAAAACTGTAAATAAATTTATTGTGTTCTCACATGTTACATAAATTGACTGTGATCTCACATGTTACGGTCTAAAATAAGATTCTTATTGTTTATATTACGTCGCCTGAAAGAAAGACGTTGTTTCCTTACATACAGGGACGGCGCTAAGGTATTTGGCGATCCCCTGGAAATTTTAAATTAGCGCCCTACATGTAGGATTTCTAATTAGTTATCTAATTTCAAATCTCCAACTTACTGCCGAAAACTAACAGACATTCTTTTTTTTACACGACGGTATCTGGAGAAAATAACGTGCTCATAACTAAGGCATTATGTGCAAGATTCGCGATTCAAAAACAGTTGTGCAAGATTTATAGTGCTTCAAACGTTTAACATGATAAAGAGATAAAATCTAATAGAAGAATTTATCTTCTAGAGACAAAAATGTCACTAAACATTGCACATGTCTCTACACAGTAATTACTACTTGTGTAAAATACTTTTGTTAAATATTTTTCAAAAAATTAGATTTAATTTTTCAATTTGAAAAATTGAATAAAATATATGTTAAAATTAAACAATATATGTAAAAACTATAAATAAAATTGCAATTAAAAATACGAGTCTAGTGCGCTTTATACGTGTGACTAACAATTAATATCTCGGTTCGCGGGATAGAGTGAATCTTTTTTCTGCCAGCTACTTTCGTTTTGTACAAAAACGCGTTGAATGAGTCTAATTTTATTATAATCGGAGGTGAGGTTGTTCAACTGAATAATTATCAACTCCAAATGTATAATTTACTTAAATTTATTTCACTTTAAATACAGGGTGTCCCGTTTTAAATAATGCATTAAGATTTCTTGAAAACTATGGTAGATTCGGAAAAATGTTTCAAACAAAAGTTGTATGTTCGAAGGGAGTCATAAGAAGGTACCATTGATTTAACCTTCGCGTCGTTAAGATCAAATTAAGGTCACATTGATTTTTTTAAATGGAACACCATATTTTTGATTCTCTAATATCTGGTATCAAGAGCTTTTCAAAACACTATTATAATTCTTATTAAAATCTCTTAGATTCCAAATTTAGGAATAGTTCATATTCAAGCGAGAATCATAGCGATTCAATTTCGAATAGTTCGCACATCACGAAGCTGAAGCTGACAGCCAGACTTAGCAGCCAGAACGCGGAAGTCAGGGGCGAATAGGGCCTCAAAGATTAAAAATGAATAAAATGCATTAAAAACTCATTGCAAATAAGTCATACATTTCAGATGATACAAAATTATAGGTTAACATATATAAAATTTATAATAATCTGCAAGGGGATGGCTTTTACTGATAATAACAAAATTAAATAAAAAAAATGTATGACTGAAATGTATGACTTGTTTGCAATGAGTTTTTAATGCATTTTATTCATTTTTAATCTTTGGGGCCCTATTCGCCCCTGGCTTCCGCGTTTTGGCTGATAAGTCTAGCTGCCAGCTTCAGCTTTGTTCGCACATCTCTATTTGAGAATAACATTAGTGTTATTTACTGATCTCAAATGCGGTCTGGAAGGAGCAGGTTTGTCCCCTCCATTTCAATAAGCTATCAGACTACAGTAGTTAACTGCGAAGGCTATCTTAACGAAGCTATCTTTTTCTACTATATTATCGTACTATTGATCACGTGATCGATGCATTGGAGTTAAAAAAAAGAAAAAACTTTATCTGCGAGCAATTATTGTACTCATATAACTAGAATCGGAACAGCCAGTGGCATGCACTTTTCAGTACGTATTTGAATTCAATAGCATTATTGAAGAAAGTGTTAAATTGGCTGAAATATATATACTCAAGAAGTCTGGAAGAAAAATACGGTGAAAGAAAGGAATAAAGAAAAATAAAAAAAGGATCTTAAAAAAATTAGAAGAACAATGTTCTTTTCAGTGAAAGCGCATCTTCTATTGCAACTAGCATTTCAGTAAGTATTAACCCAATATATCTTTTTCATTCAGCATTTCGATGCTTCTTCGATTTTCATAAAAAATATAAGATATTACATTTAAAAAATTTATGGTAACTTTCAATATGTAAAAAGTGTAAATGAAAATTTTTGTACTGCATCTTAAGATGAATAAAAAAATATGAAGGTTTATATATCAAAATGGAATGTGGGGAAGTTGTGTTTCCCATCAGTAATATTTCTATAGAAATATTTTTCTAATGAATATTTTCTCTTTCGACAAGAATCTTGCAACGAAGAAAAAATAGAAAGAAGTTGCTAGCCGTCGAGAGAGATTTATATTTTTATTTATAATAAATGCAAACATTAATATTAATTAATTTTAAAACATTAATATTGATAAAATTTTATTTTATTAATCGATATATTGAATTGAATGGATATTTATACTTTTAATGAAATAAAGACTGTAGTCATTTTCAAATGATTACTACGAGGGGCACTATTTATATTTTGAGCCTAATAATAAAAAAACAGTAATTTGTCATTGAAAATGACTTTATTGTTTTTCAAAATATTCTCCTTTAT